ATATGACATTTCCAATCATTAAATTTTAATGTTTTAAAACAACACACGAGACATTCAAACTTTTTTATTTTTCGATACTGATTGAAATCAATTGTTGAATTTGTTTCATCCCACAGTTGAACTTTGTCCAATAACTTACTAATATCACTTTGTGAATCTATTTGAGCAATTATATTGCACATCTTACAATCTTCACAATTAGTATTATTCAGTGATTTTACTTGGTAATTTATATATTTTCCAAAAGTTTCATATTTTAAAATCTGAAAAATAATTTATAATTGATCAAAAATTAGAAAAGTATTGTATTATAAGTTTCATTTGATAAATGGCAAAAAAAATAAACATGAAACAATGTAATAATCATTATCACATATTCACATGTTATATTTATAAATAGAGTACTTATTAGTTATTAAGTATAAGAGGTCTGTAGTATTTACAAGTAGTATTTGCAAGGTCCAAAAGGTTGGCGATCACTAGTTAAAAGAATATATAGTCATTGATTCAATGATAAATCATTATGTATGAAAAAAAACCAATACTATTAACATAGGAAACYTGAATGCTTGTCAGTACTTTTTAAAACAGTCAAAATAATTTAATCATCAAGTGAAATATTTTTTCTTTTATAAAAAGATTTTCTGATTAAAAAGCTTGAACATGAAAATGTAATAGAAGAWCTCACATAAGTAATTCTTTAAGCAATTTAAAAGGTACATATATTTTAACTTTTTTTTTTATTTGACAATCTGCTACAGTAACATTAATAAGTAATAGTATACACGGGGAACCAAGCGTGAAGAGACCTCACATTGCAGGTTTTCTAACAAATTTAAAGATAGATAGGTATTAATATTTGTATAAACATTTGAGTTCAAATTAGTTTGAAAAAAAATTAATATCTAGTCATTTATYCTTCAATAATTTGTCGTCAAATTCAATATCAATTACAGAGACTTTCTCCATAACGTAACAAGTTGGTTACAGTAATCTACTAGCTCATTTTTTACCATCATTTCTATATTTTGTTTTTTTCTAAAAATATCACAATAGGTAACTTATAAGTCAATATATTAACATACCTAATGACTACTGTATTAATATAAATTGCTTAAAATAAGAATAAATATTTAAAAAATCATCTTAGGTCTTTAAAATTATATTATAAATATTTGTGGGAAAATTTAAAAAAAAAATGTAGGCATCTATAAAATAAATTCCAAATTCATTGTGTACCTGACTCACCATTCATTAACAACATTAAATATTAAAATTARAGTATAAAGTTTACTCTAGAAATTTAAGTACCCAGAATATTTGCAGYAGAATAAACTACTTACGTGAAACCTTGTTTAAATTTTCAATCCTTAGCTATAAAATCTAAACATATTATAAATGTTTAACCTAAAAAATTAGTAAATTTTCAACAAAATAAATTTTGTCAACATTTAAACTTTAAATGATTATTAAAAAAAAGTGGCTATGTATTTTTAATATATTCCAACTGCTATCATATAAACTTATGGTGATTCATGAATTACATATTCAAGTTTTATGACCCAATGAATAAAATTTTATTGGCATTTATTGAATAAAAAACTACAAAAACGGAAATATTTAAGTGTCTATAAATGATTTAAAAATTACTGAAATATTTAAAAAATGTTATTGAGTGTAGGAATTTATAAAATAAACATATGGTGTAAATTTCAAGTTTCTACAGTTATTATAGTTTTGGAATAACAACAAAATAAGAATATCGGTATAAGAAAAATTGAGTGAATATCCAATATTGTAATTCAAATAATGTTCATAAAAATTCAATTTGACTTTCTGGTAGACATTTTTATCTGATAAAAGTAGACAAGCTCATAAAGAATCTTGTATAGACATTTCAAACCTTAGATTTAAAAAAATTAATTTTTATGAATTTTTAACTCAAAATTAATAGTAAATGTTCATAATTTTTTATGTAATTTATCAAAATCCCAACTTTCAAAACTAATTAAAAAAATTGTGAACCCAATGAATAAAATTTTATTAACATTTATAGAATAAAAAACTAAAGAAAAATTTTAAATGTCTATAAATAAATTAAAAAGATTTGAAATATTTTTTAAATTTTATGAAGTATAGAAAATGCATATTTAAAAATTCGGTGAAAACTTCATGTGTCTACAGTTAGTTTTTTTAGAGTTACACCTACAATATCTAAGATTGATTTTATCAAAAATTGATTTTGCGTAAAAATTCCATTTTATTTTAATTTTTTTTTGTTATTCCCGGTATTTTGAAAACTACTAGGAATTTTAAAATTTAACCTCTCCAATTCACCAACTAATTAATTAATTAACTTCCAAACAGAAAAGTTACTGAAGTTGAATATCGAAGCACTATTTTGACAACTCATCGTGTACACACACACACACACACACAAAATAAATAATGTTATATTTTAGCATAGTACGTAATTAGAGTAATATATGTGTACTGGCGTACGTGACTACGGGAACGGACGTTTGAGCTGGAATCTGCTTATCCAGCAATTCTTACCCTGGCTGTTGTATAGAGGTTACGGTCGCCCAGACGCCCAGTCAGTCGTAGAGTTAAACGCACTCAGTCCGAACCTCATTTGTTATACAGAAAAATGTAACAAGTCAATAGTAATTAGTAATTAAACAATAGAGTACAGTACATTGTAGTTTTCGTAGTAATAAACATATTTTTTTTAGTCATTTAATTAGCGCCTTTGCGTACCTATATTCTTTCGAAATATGTCCTAYTCTCTTTCCACTAAAAATAACAACGCGCCGGTACACATCAATAAAAACACAGATCATTGTAAAATCAAGACATTCATCGCTCCGCTCAGAATCTAAAAGTGAAAATCTAAAATGTGTGAAATGGCCTATGCCCAAAGTTTATTAATAAATCATAATGGCGATGTCAAAAATTCAATTGGCAGGAGGAAAAGTGTTTAAGAGTTACCTAATTATTGGCTAACTTATTCTAAACAAACAATACGCCCAATTGTCCATTACGTACCTATACTATTGTCTATTGGGCCCGAGATATGTCTTCAGTAACATTTTGTAAACGTGAAATAAAAATGACACAAAATGGGGTCGATTGGAATTATTTACGTGAGGCATGTGTGTGTGGAAGTTGAAAAATCAAAATAAAGAAATTGGCAGTCTCGGTATTTTTGTCAAAATATTTTATTATGTTATAATAGGATAGCCTATATATATTAAAGTTAATTTGTTCGTAGGATAAATAATGCAGTATTTACGTATTCTGCATTAGCAATGGATTTTCAGCGRATCCTATCGGGAAATCAATGCATGTTTTTCAGTGAGTGTACCAGGATCGATCGGACTAGCGGAGAAAATATTTTTACATACCAACAATCCAAAAATATATAGGAATAAAGATTAGACTCAATAGTTATGCCAGATTATTGGAAAGCTTACAATAATTTTCAACAAGCGGTATTCCAACACAATGTTGTTAACCACACTTATAATTTTTTTGAACTAGGCACAGTGACACACGCTAGAGCCCTGCATGGGCCGAGCTGGCCCGGCCTGTCCCCTGGTTGGCCCGGCCCGAAGCCGGGCTCGGGCCGTGCTTGGTGTCACCGAAATCGGGTTCGGGCTGGGCCTGGCCCTTCACTTCAGTATTAGTTGTTCAGGCAGGGCTTCATTTATATTTTATAATATTAATTGATAAATRATTTYATTTAAATTTAATTTATCATTTGATTTCTATTGACAAMACAAATTACCGATAACCAGAAATTCGGAAATACGTATTTTACAGTAATCTATTTATAACTGTAGGAATACCATTCT